TGTGTGTGTGTGTGTGTGTGATACGTGTATACATACATACATATACATATATATTTTATTCAGAATTTTATCTTTTAGTATTTTATAAAAATTTTATATAAAAATATATATTATATAATATATTCTAAAGCAATATTTATTCTTTCTAATCTCTATCTTCATTACCTAAAGTACAAAGTATGACTCATATGTGTATTATATACATTATATAGTTAGACTATAATTCTTTAGAAAATATTAAAAAAAAATCATAATTACATTAATAGCTAGTCATTTCAATTCATGATTTATAACTATATTTATTACATTCTCAAAATACAATTTTAATATATATTACAGATTATATTTGGATAAGTTCAATTCAATTTGCTAGATTCTAAAATATATATAAAAAGAAATTAGTGATGTTTTAACCTTTTCAAATCATTTTTTTAAGAATAAGGAAAATGTATATTATTAAAATAAGTATAAATTTTTACAAAAGAAATAAAAAAATAAATATTGCACAGATGTGGCAAATGCGTTAAAAAGATATTGATAACAAAGACAATTGGTGAAAGAACTTACGAACATAGAACTGCGTAATATCTCGTAGCTAAAACTCACCATCCATCGTGGAAGATTTACATCATCCCTATTAAAAACCTTGTTGTCCAGTAATTTTGGTAATAGTTTTGTCATATTAATTTTGGGCACTATGCTCTCGCAACAGCGATCTACCTGTTCGCGATCTCTTTGGTCCATCTTGAATTTGACACATTCACTTCCAAGAAGTAAATTTTTAGCATCAAGTATGTTCACGTATGTTCACTGAAATCTTATGCTAGATCTTTTCAATAATGCCACAGAACTTGAAACTAGGAGGAAAGAGGCATAAGCTAAAGAGGTACGTTGGCAGGGAGTATCTGTCATTTCATCACGCTCTATACACTACTACTCCTTTTATTGGTCGCTATCAGACAGTGCTAAAACAGACCACGACTCAATTCGGTAAATGATTGTAAGAAGAATTAAAAAAAAAAAGCATAATGACGCAATACAAAAATTTATATAGGGACAAAACACGTCCACTCCACTCAACCCCGAGGCCCGAAGGAGATATTCTCTCTCTATTCTCATCACGCAGATTTCATATCAAATCAAAGCTTAGAGCCAGAGCCGCATAGAGTGTATCATGTATATACACGTGCATAATACGTACATACATATCGGCGTGTATGTGTGGGTTTAGATCTCTTATTGTGATGTATCAAGTATTGTAATTAATAAAATATTAATAGCTGATAAAATCAACTGCGACTCTATCGATCGTCGATTATCTTTATTCTGAAAAATGTAATTTATGTGAAATATGACTACAGCGCTTACGATGAACCGCGAGATATGAACTTCGAATGTTTTTCAATATCTAATAAAGGTTACTGATCAAGTTTGATTACTCACGATGAACGCTAATTACTCTTTACAAGATCATATCCGATCTTCAGATTATAAACGAAATGAACGACAAGAAATGCTGGTTGCTCCACCGTTAGACTTATCGTTTAAAAAAGCTACTACCATGGACGGTATATAAATTGAAGGAATGTCATTTTCTTAAATATTATTTTGCGAATTGATGGTGCACATTGATAATTCATTTTCTTATTCAAATTAAATTTTATTTACGATTATAAGTGCTAACAATTATTATTATTATTATTATTATAATATGATCACTCATATATGCACCTTTTCGTTTCCTCTTTTCATACAGAATTGATGGAAAAACGTGCGCAAATAATACGCACTAGAAAGGCACCAGTGAGAACGTTTAAAGATCGTTATGTAACCAGTACGTTGTGGCTAAGCAACAATTTACTTAAATCAATGGATGGTCTTCAGCGTCTCGTGGACAGAATTCTTGACGATCCCGAGTACCTCAGTTGGTTGGATTTGTCTTTTAATGAGATAAGCGAGATTGGAGAAGAAATAGAAAAGTTTTCAAACTTGAAGATTCTCTATTTGCATGGCAATAAAATTGCGAATATTGCGGATACCTTAAAGCTTACGAAACTACAGAATCTTAGATCACTGACGTTACATGGTAACCCGATCGAAGACATTCCCTGTTACAGGGGTTACATCGTACATCTTCTCCCACAGCTGCTCGTCTTAGATTTTTCGCCAGTAATTTCTGCGGAAAAGAAAAAGGCGCTACCCATAGGATTTTTTAAGATGATACAATCTGGGATACGAATATAAAATTTATTTTTTATACCATTGCATACGCTTTTGATATACATATTTCCCTTTAATATTTTTATTTCCATACCTTCTTCTGTAATTCTGCTTTATATTACTTGAGATATGGCAGTTTTACAAAATATAATTGCGTATCAAATTAATATTATTCTCTTCTGAGAATATATGTCCAAGTGTTGAAACTTAATCTTAAATGATTCGTATTCGATAAATAATAAGTATGATTAATAAGTTAACAAAAAAGATATAACTTTTAAAAGTAGAATCCTAAATACTGTTGCATGCATAAATGCTGCTGTTTATGGCAACATTTTCGCTGCTGTTAAACGTTATGGATTTATCAAGCAGTATAAAAGTTTACAAAAGTATTACATATTTAGAGATTATTATTTTTATCTTTGTTCCTCCCGAAAAATTTCTATAAAGTCACACAAAACATAAAAAGTATTTTATGTTTACTTATGTTTACTTTAATATTTTTTTAAAAATTATACACTTATCGGCCTCACATAGCGATTTTAATATAAATTATACAAATAATGAAAATGCTGAAGCAAAACTTGTAATAATGAAATATATGACATATCATCATCACAGTTGTATTGCGATAAAACTCAATCAAATTAAATCTCGAAAAATTGAGTATTAATTTCGAAATAAAGATGTTACGATAATCCTATAAAAATTTGCTATATTACAAACTGAGACTCGAAAAAGAGAATTTAATTCGAGATATCTTGCAACATAAAGTAAAATTTCTTACTACACATCAATATGCGTTTAATGTATCCGTCTACTGCGCTTACTACGGTGTTTGCTTGACTTTTCCAAATCCCTATCCCGAGATCGACTTCGGGATCTGTAACTACGTGATCTTCGCGATGACTTGTGGCTGCCTGATCGTCTTCGCTGTGTCTTTTTGAGTTTATTGGATCTACCATGACTATGACTTCGTGATCTACTTCTACTGTGCCTTTTCCGTTTAACGGAATACTTTGTTTCTTCGCCTCGTGATGGAGAAGTACTAGGAGATTTTGAACGCCTGAAATATACGAAATATGAGGAATTAAATATTTATGAAAGTATATACAATTAACGAGACAAGCCTTTTTCATTAAATTAACTTTTATGCTGTAAATGATTAAATATGTTACTCAGATTTAGAATCGAATATAAAATACAACGTATATATACCGTATGAAAAATATATTGTATAAGATTCCTAATTAACATAATTAACATAATTATGTATATATATATTAATTCTAATACTTTAATTTTAGTTTTTAATTAAAAATATTTGTATACATATTTGTATATATACATAAATATGTTACTCGTTTACTTTATACTCGCATGAAAAACGTTATTATACCTGGGTGATTTCGTTCTCTCAGGAACTGCGTGTGTACCACTGCGACTGATAAATCCACCCCAGGCATTGTGGTGCTTCGGCAATGGTGGACTCGGCGTATGCCCATCTACATCCCCGCCACGCGCCTTACTTCTGGCCTCTTCGTATTGACGTCGCAATTCCTCGACACGTTTTTCCAATTGTTCAGGTCTCACGCGCGGTCGCGAATAAAGACGCAATATGCGTCGACATACGTCCCTGATAGCAGATTCGTTGACGCCGAATAGTGAGAACCAAGCGGGTGATGTAGGTAAAGGCAGTTGCAAATGACGAGCAGCTAGATAAACACACGCACATGCCACTGTCTCTGGCTGGTAACGCAGGAATACATCGGAGCGCAACGAATCATTCATATAATTCCAGCTTTGTTGCATCAGAGCGCGATTCTTTTCATATCCCAACACTTGCAAGTACATGACTATGATTTTGTGAGGATGTTTTACATGAACGCAGAAACCTAACTCTTTCAACACTCTTCTCTCAGATTTAATTACTTGATTCTTCAGAGCTACATAATTCTGATCGAGAATCACAGGTTGTATTGCTCTGAAACAAACGATAAGAATTCTTTTAATTATTTCCATTTCTTTCTTCATAGATTTTGTATTCATAAATATTTATACCATAAAGCAAAAATAATAAGACAACTTACTTTTGGCTGGATACTTGTTTTATATGATTGAAAACATTAATCACATCTCTGATACGTCTGGGCGCTTCCTCAATTTTACTGGCTAAGCAGATGCAACCCATTGCAGTTGTTTCCATATTATGTCTAACTAAAGATTTGCTATAATAAAATCGTTGGAATATTACTTGTCCTGTAGCCATTGCAACCTACACAAATGAATAGAAGAAAAGGATGATTAGATCATACTGTTTTATACAACATAATGTCCAATATATTATCAACATTTAACCCTTTAGGGACACGAGCAGAGATATTTCCGTTGCCACACTTTGATTTTGCTGTGCGACATACGTCGACTTATATCCAGCGTGCACGTCGTCACTCATTTGTCTACATTAGCCACCAAGACTCTGGAAAGTACATACATTTTGAGCTGTTTTTGTTATAACTATATTAAATAAACAATATAAGTTCTGTCCACAAAGGGTTAAAGTAATGGCATCTTCCCATGTCAAAAATCAAGATAAAGTGACATGTAGATGTAAACAACTATATTAACTACTTTTAAATAAAGTTAATTTAAATGTTTAAAAGTTGTTTAAATATTATATCAAGAAAATAATATTCCGTATAAATGTTAAATATTACATTCTTTTATAAAATTTAGCAAGATAAAATTTCATTAGTAAGATAAAATTTAGTAAGATAAAATTTCATTTTATCAAAAACATAAATCATAAATTATTAATAAATCATAAATTATCATTTGTCTCATAACGATGTAACTGAAAGAATCGAATAAACGTAACGATTGTACGTATACTTTTGAATAAAATAGAATAGACAGAATTTGAATAACAATTAATACAAAAATAGATTATGGAATTAAACTATATTTAGATTTTGAAGCAAGATTCTAAAATCTAAAATCATCAAGATCAGGAAGATTAAGGTTAAGTTTGGGTTTAATTGGATTTGACGCACAAAAACCTACCTGTGGTAACTTGAGCAAAATACCGGCCGTTTGTATAAGTTCGCATCCTAGTATCCGCAAATCCGTTTCAGTCTCTGCATCAAGTCCATCCAAATGTGACGGCGTGGAATTGAGTTTCTCCTCGGGTAAGAGGCAATTCTGCAACGTCAACACGATCTTGCCGTAGGGCTTCGCGTTCGACGCGTTTGTGCTCTTCGCTGTCGGCGTTGTGGAATTCTCTTTTGCATTCATCTCGAAATGCTTGATTAATTCACAGAAGAATTCGGAGAAAATGAATCGCAAAACTTGATGCGACGTATGACACAACGTAACCTGTAGGGATCCGAAAACTTGGGCGTTAAGTGTAGCAAATCGGAAAAAAGATGGTCGATAGTTTTCCAACTGCGTTCAAGAAACATGATAATGTGACTCTCGAGAAATAGTCGTATGTGATTGGTATAAGGATTGGTATATCTGCATTCGGATCCACCAATCGGAGCCTTTGCTTAGAATGGTAGAATTTTGTATCTACAATCATTAATACATCATAAGTTGCAATATTAATTGTGATATTGATATTTTATTTTTTAAATAACAGCCTTCTAATTAACATTTTACATATTAATTAATTTGTTACAGTTACGATTATGAATATGTATAATAAAATCAATACATGTTGCATTGAAAGATAGTGCTGCAAGTTTAGGATTATTATGTACTTGATACTCGGACACTTATTATGGGATGGTTCAACAAATTGGAAAATAATTATGTAAAGTTTAAAAGCGTAACTGCCGTTTTAAAAAATATTACAAAAAATACATTTGTCCTGCCCGAAAAACTCGGGAAAACTCATCCATTATTGTTTTGATTGAAAAGAATCAGGAGTTTCGTAATACTAGAGGGACTATCGACGGCGTCTAGCGAAACTGAGGGTCGATCATGTAACTTTTCCCCTAAGTGTCGGTCTATAATAGGTGATTTAAGCTTCAAGAAGTAAGAAATTGACCAATTATAATCGAATATGAAAAGAATAATCGACTATGATTGGTCAATTTCTTACGACTTAAAGATTAAATACTTATTGTGGACCGACACTTAGAATTAAGTGTATGTAGTACACATACAATTGGTTATTAAAAGATGTATATAAAATTATTTTATTGTACCAATAAAATAATTTTCATTAGCTATAAAACCTATGAAACTATGTTTTTCATCATTTCACTTTTCAAGCATCCAAGCTACATACATAATCGCTCCAAGCTACATACATAATCGCTGTACGTGAAAAGTTTCATGTGAAATGTCAAGGTGTGAAAAATGAAAAGTAAAAAGTGAAAAATGAAAAGTGAAGAATTTCACGTAAAGTTAAGCCAGCAGCAAATGATGCTTTTTTTCCTGCTGATTTGCTAGCTGAATTTGCGTACTTGCTGAACTCTTGTCTTTGATTGATATATTCTTTTAGATCTAAAACTTTACATGATTGACCCCCAGATGAGGTCCAATCGGATACATTGCCGATTGGTCGATTAAATAAAAAAATTTTTGATAGGTGGCTTATTAGAAAATTCTTAGACATTGGTTGAGAGAAGTGCGTCCGATTGAAAATTGTGTGCATCTGAGACTCATTTCAGTCAATTGCATGACGTTTAAATATTTAATTACAATTATCTGAATGATTCACAAATGTTTTTAATGACACTTCATAACTCTTCATACGAAATACAAACGATTCCATACAAAATTATTATTTCATTTACCTCCGGCTAATTAATCGGCTAATCCGGTCAAATCCATAATAAAAAATAAATACAATTGACAAATAAATACAACTGAATGACTAAATGACAACTCTTTTCAATTGCACTTCAAAACTCTTCAAACGAAATACAAACGATTTAACATAATAATTCCTCAACCGGATCTTTTTTCTCAAGTGTATGCGAATGTCTCGGACCGATTTCTAGCAACGTGGACACAAGACTTTAGAAATTGACTAATCACAGTATGAGAGGAAGTTGAATGAGAGGAGAAACTCGATTATGATTGGTCAATTTTTTACACTTATCTTATGAACTTATCTTCATTGTAGATTACATCTTAGTGTCGGTCCACAATAGGTGATTTAAGCTTTAAGAAGTAAAAAATTGACCAATTATAATCGAATATGAAAAGAATACTCGACTATGATTAGTCAATTTCTTATGGCTTAAAGATTAAATACTTATTGTGGACCGACACTTATGCACAACTATAAATATTTTTAATTTTAAACGCTGCTCCGATTTGATTTGACAGATTTAAAAAACGGATCTTAGATCTCGATCAGCTGGCCATCTATTGTGGTTTACTTTAGCCTTCATGTGTCTTCATGGTGACGATGGTGACACATGTTTGATACACGCAAGTGCCGCGAACCTGACTTGGCATTTTGCGATTACTTATAATTGCTATTAAAAAAAGAAAACTTTGCATTAATTCAGTATTTTGAAGGTGTAACGTATTGATACGCTGCAATTACGAGGAATAAATATGCCTCAATACACGAGTACGTATTCAATTATCATAGTGTCTAACCTAAAAACTTGTATCAAATTTATATTCAACAATCGAATAAAATAGACAATATTATAGTTCTTAGCCATACAGTATACAATAATGACAAAGGCTAAACATTTAATTTTAGAAATTATTTTGGGCAATCTTATCTAAGATACATGCGTATCTATGTATACTTGATAAAATGACTTAGCAAAACCTAATTTTTAATTTCTGCAACTGATTTGCAACTTAAATTATGATCAAATTATTTAAATTTATCAAATTTATTTAAATTATTATCAAATTATTAATCTAAGTTTTTATATTATAAATTAATTTTTTAAGTTATAAAAGATTATGTTACAAAAGATTTTATGTTTTTAAGCTATGTTAATGTTTCTCTAATTCTATCATTGTACAATTTCCTTGTACAATTTTTTCATCCATTTAATTCATGGATTATCGATATGATTTAGTTAAAGTCAAATGGGGTAAAGAATTATTTTCTAATGTGGAAGTAAATACCGAAGAGGAACCAATATTATTTAAGGCACAGCTCTTTGCTTTGACTGGAGTCCAACCAGAGAGACAGAAAGTAATGCTCAAAGGAATGACACTCAAAGATGATAATTGGGGCAATTTGAAACTTAAAGATGTAATGATATATGAATAACTCTCCTAGCTGACTTATAATTATTAGAAGATATTTAAAAGATTTGTAATCGATTGTTGATTGTTTTCAGGGTGTCACGATACTTATGATGGGTTCCAAGGAAGAGGACGTACCTACAGAGCCAATAGAAAAACCAGTATTCTTGGAAGACATGAATGAAGCTGAACTAGCTACCGCTTTAGATCTACCATCTGGTTTACTCAATCTTGGGAATACATGTTATCTAAATGCTACGGTACAATGTTTAAAAACTGTGCCAGAATTACGAGAAGCCTTGAAGATTTTCTCAGGAGGTTGGACAACAGGAGCAAGTTTATCAATAACTGCACAAAGCATAACTGCGTCGTTAAGGGATCTATATGACAATATGGATAAAGGGACAGCTAGAGCACCACTTGTTCTGCTCCAAATGTTGCATTTAGCCTTTCCAAGATTTGCAGAAAAAACTGAACAAGGTGTATTTCAACAACAGGATGCAAATGAATGTTGGACAGAATTAATTAGGATGTTGCAACAAAAATTACCTGCAAAGGTGATTAAATAGATGACACAAGCAACTTTTTAAGTTTTAAGTTACCTTTCATATTTATTTGTGATTATATATAAAACTATTATTAAAAGCATATATAACTTATAACATAACAGATTGTACTTATAACAGAACAATCCAGATGTATCAGAAGATAATGATAAAACCTCTAAACCAAGATCGTTTATTGAACAATACTTTGGAGGTATATTTGATTATGAACTAAAGTGTATCGAATCTGAGGATGAACCAGCTACTACTGGAAAAGAAGAATTTTTACAACTGAGTTGTTTTATTTCTACTGAAGTTAAGCATATGTATTTTGGACTTAGAAATAAAATGCAGGAGCAAATTACAAAAATGTCTCCAACACTTGGAAGAAATGCTACTTATACAAAAACGGTAAAAATCTATCAAAAGCTAGTCTCGTATATGAAACTTTATTATGTTAATATCTTTGATATATAATCAAAATTTATAAAACGCGCGCGCGCGCGCGCGCGCG